TCCGCGTCGTTTAACTGCTGGATGACGATGCTCGAGAATCCTGGCTTCGACGCTTGCCTTCGCTCAGTTTCAGTTTCCTTTGCTTCAGTTTTCCCAGTTTTCCACTGCATGCTGTCCAGTGGCCTGAGAACTCGATACGGAGGATGACTGCTGGCTCCTTGGCTGCCTGATTTGCGATTCGCTGAGCTTCAGTTGAACCGAATTTAAGTTTCCTAGCTCTTTCTGTTTGCAATTTGCAGTGAGGTCTGGGAAATATCGGTGGAGCAGAGGAAGGTCTCTTTCAGAGTGGAATAACATGCTTTCGGTATACAGAGCGTAATTGGACTCCTCTATTTGGTTCCTTCGAGGACAAAGCTGACTCTCTAGTGTTTTTTTGAGGTTAGGTCTTCGCTGCACCTCAAAATGGATGACTTGTGATGTTAATTTCGCGTTTAACAGAGAACTATTTGATATTTTGGCGAATTTTTCTTTGGGTATAATGTCAAAGGGAGTTTGTGGATGCAGCAGGGGTAGTCTTTGCTTCTTCTTCTGATGGGGAGACTGCGAAGATGTCGCGACTGATTGGATGGTGCAAGTTGTTCGTGGGCGTGATGGACGGCGGGTATAGTTCTTCGGGGAGAATGAAACTTTTTAATCTCCTTTGGTCATATTGCTCAAAGAGTTAGAGAAATGACGCACTTTGATAATGGCCTAACTACCAAGGTCTTTGTGTGAGTAACTGCAATTTTGTGTATTATACCATATTATATTACAGGAACTTTTATTCTGTGGATCGTGGAAAACAGAGAAATTAAATGCAGTCGTTCATTTTCTAATAAAATGTTAGATACCTTCGTATTAAAATTAAATAGAAATTCGTATCTTTAAATATTATTTATTATACATTATTATTTCTTATTAAAATAGTGAAGAGACTGACTGGATGAAATGGTATATTAAAATGAGGAGCAGCTGAAATAACAATTTCAATTTTGATATCTTGACATACTATTTTGGCAGATTACTTCTTTCGCATACTATTTTGGCAGATTAGTCTTTTTTTCAAAAAGTTTCTCAAAATTATATTCTTTAAAAATTAAAAAATTTTAAATTAATAAAGATTTATAATTTAAAATTATAACCTTTAAAAATTATAAATAATTTCTAATTCCATCCCAAATTAAATATCAATCAATACCAATTCATCAATTAAAGAATTTATATTGAAAACGACTTTTATCAATTTTATTAATTTTTCAGAAGACAAAGGAAATAGTCTATCTTTAATTTATTTTTCCAGAATAATTTTTTCCAATTTTTTCAATTCAAGAAATACTTCATTTCTTATAATACCGATTACAGGACGATCTCAGTATAGTAGTATTACTTAAAAATTTGTTTGAATTTATAAGGGTAGTTTGCGATCGACTATGAAATTTCCATTTTTCTTGTCCCTTCTCCAATTTGAACGTAATTAAAATCATTACGATATAATCTTCATTCCTGTGTTTCTAATTAGACTTCCATAATTACATCGTTTGCCATGATTCAATTAGTGGTTACTGAGAGTTAGTTGTAGAATCTCGACGATTTTCAATAATCGAACGTGGTTGAACGAGGATGCTTGCTTGCTCTGAGTCGAATCTGCACCCATGTTTAATTAGGCCTTCCCACGAAATGTGCTCGACGATTTTACATAGCTGGACATTCCAGATCGTTGACCGCATTCCTCGTTAAACATACTTTTATGCCGGCTGTAATTTTCTCGTTTCGGCCGCTTCACGTCGCGAAAACCCGTTCACGAAGTGCCCTGCTCCTCTGGGACCATTTTTCTTATCCTTCACTGGCGATCGTTTTCCGTTTCTTGAACTCCGGGTTCATATTTTTCGTCCGCTTCTTTCTTACAATAATTTTCCTCCCAATAATTTTGCTCGATGCTCTCAGTTCGAATCCGATCCAATATTCAATTAATTTCAATTAACCTAATTAAATAAATAAATAATTAAATAATTAATTCGAATTAACCTAACTCTGTTTTGTATTTAAAAATAAAGGAATATTTAATTTGATTTATATTAATTTTAAGTAAATTAAATTTTTATTTTTATTTTTAAAATAGAAAATTAAATGGATGGATGGAGTTAATTTCGGTTGAGGAATCGAGTATAGATTAGGTTACACACCTTGAAGTAGTTTGCATGGCGGTTTACGAAAACGACAGAAATGGCCCAGAAACCTCGAAACCTCGAAAAATAGCCATTGGAAGGAATATTTTCTTTGGCTTGAACGATTCTTTCCTTTAACACGAATAATTCCATCTCACGACACATTTTTCCTGCCGTAAAAAGTAATGGAGTTAGCTGGAAGACTCGAGTGAGACGAATGAGAAACTTCAAAGAGGGCTGTGGTATAATTTCTACGTTTAAACTGACCAAATTTTACTCCTGACATAGCATATTTTTCAAAAATGTTACTATAATACGATATAATTTACATTTGTATTAAATGTCTGTTCTAACTAATATAATTAACATAATTTAATATAATTTAATATTAAAATCCAATTTTATGAAAGTAATATTATTATAAATTATTGTAAAAAATTATATTATTAAATTATATATAAAATTATATTACTATATTGTATTATGTTATTTATATATTTCTATGCCACGGATTGGATTATGGTTGCCAAAGATAGTATTC